ATCAATGTGATAAAGCCTTTTTACAACATAGTCAGCTCCATATACATGAAAGAATACATTCTGGAGAGAAACCCTACAAATGTAATCAATGTGATCAAGCTTTTGCATGTTCCAGTAGTCTCCGAAAACATGAAAGATCACATTCTGGAGTGAAACCCTACAAATGTAATCAATGTGATAAAGCCTTTTCACAAAACAGTACTCTCCAAATACATAAAAGAACACATTCTGGAGAGAAACCCTACAAATGCAATCAATGTGATAAAGCCTTTTCACAACACATTCATCTTCACATGCATAAAAGAACACATTCTGGAGAGAAACCCTACAAATGTAATCAATGTGATAAAGCCTTTGCATGTGCCAATAGTCTCCAAAGACATGAAATTATACATTCTAGAGATAAACCCTACAAATGTAATCAATGTGATAAAGCCTTTTCACAACACGGTCATCTCCAAAGACATGAAAGAACACATTCTGGAGAGAAACCCTACAAATGTAGTCAATGCCATAAAAACTTTTCACGACACAGTCTTCTCCAAATGCATGAAAGATCACATTCTGGAGAGAAACCCTACAAATGTAATCAATGTGGTAAAGGCTTTGCATTTTCTAATAGTCTCAGAAGACATGAAAGAACACATACTGGAGAGAAACCCTACAAATGTAATCAATGTGATAAAGCCTTTTCACGACACAGTTATCTCCAAAGACATGAAAGAACACATTACTGGAGAGACATCCTTCAAATATAATCAATGTGATAAAGGCTTTTCACAACACAGTAACCTTTAAATTCATGAAAGAACACATACTGGATAGAAACCCTATGGATGTAATCAATATGGTAAAGCCTTTGCATGTACCAATAGTTTCTGAAGACATGAAAGAACACACACTGGAGAGAAACCCTACAGATATAATCAATGTAATAAAGGCTTTTCACAATACTCATCTCCAAATACATAAAAGAACACAAAAGAATCTAGAGAGGAAACCCCATGAATTTAGTCAATGAGATAAAGTCTTTGCATGTGGTGGTAATTTCTGCATACATAAAGGAACTCATACTGGAGAGGAACCTTACAAATGCAATCAATGTAATAAAGCCTTTATATGGCACAGTTATGTCCAAATACAAAAGGAATGCATTCTGGACAGAGACTAGAATTTAATGAATGTGGCAAAACCTTTGTATGTCTCAACAATCTCAGAATACATAAAGGAATACATACTGGAGAGAAACCCTAAGACTGTAATCAGTGTGGTAAAGCCTTTGCAATTCAAGGTCATCTTTAAATACATAAAATAACATATACTGGAGAGAAACCCTGCTCTGGGATGGTCTGTATGTCAAATGTGTTGCTGTGATTGGTTAAAAAATAAAACACTGAGTGGCCAGTAGCCAGGCAGAAGGAAGTATAGGTGGGACAAGGAGGAGAATAATTCTGGGAAGTGGAAGGCTGAGTCAGAGAGACACTGCCAGCGGCAGCCATGACAAGCAGCATGTGAAGATGCCGGTAAGCCACGAGCCACATGGCAAGGTATAGATTTATAGAAATGGATGAATTTAAGATATAAGAACAGTTAGCAAGAAGCTTGCCATGGCCATACAGTTTGTAAACAATATAAGTCTCTGTGTTTACTTGGTTGGGTCTGAGTGGCTGTGGGCCAGGCTAGAAAACTCTAGCTACAAAACCCTATGAATCTAATCAATTAGATAAAGCCTTTTCAAAACACAATCACCTCCTCCAAATCCATAAAAGAGCACATACAAGAGAGAAACCCTATGAATGTTATCAATGAGGTAAAACCTGGATGTGCCAGTAGTCTCTGAATACATAGAGGACCTCGTACTAGTGAGAAGCCCTTCAAATATAATCAATGTGATAATGCCTTTTCATGCCACAGTCCTCTCTAAACACATGAAAGAATACATTCTAAAGAGAACCCCAATGAATAAAATTAATGTGGTTAAGCCTTTACATGTGCCAATAGTCTGCAAATATATAAAAGAACACATATTGGAGTGAAATCCTGTGATTGTAATCCATGTGGTGAAGCCTTTTCACAACAGACCAGTCTTCAAGTGCATGAAAGAACACATACTGGAGAGAAAACCTAAGAATGTAATCAATGTGATAAAGCCTTTGCATGAATCAGCAGTCTTTGAAATCATGAGAAAAAAATCACACTTAGAGAAACCCTATAAATGTAGTGAATGTGGTAAAGTTTTGCAGTATATATTAGTCTTTATAAAAAAATAAAACTTAATGTGTAATTTGTTAAGGCCTTTTCATTTTATAGTAGTATTTGAGGGCCAAAAAAAAAAAAAAACAACTAATACTGAGGGAAATCTGGCCATCAAGAGTTTGGTAAGATCTTTACCCAACAGACTTACATTCAGTTATACAAGATTACTCTGGAGAAAATATTTGACAAGTGTCACCAATCTGTTCAAGCATTATGATGTCCCTCTTTTTTTATTTGCACCTTCAAACTCATATGGACAAAAACCTATGAATTTAAATGATGAGCTAAGCCCTTTATATTCCACAGTTCTCTTAAATTACATGAAATTAAGGCATCCAGGTATAAAACTTGATGTATATTAGTGGTAAAACATTATGACTTTGACAACTTTTGTAACAGTTGGCCCTTGGGTCCAGAAAGATACAGGATCACCATGAAAGTGGCATGGCAACAAGTGTCAAACATGGCAGCTAAACGAGGAAGCTAAGAATTCACATCTTCCACCTGTGGCACGAAGGTGAAAGTGAGACCTGGAAATGGTGTGTGGATGTGAACTCTCATGTTCACCCCCAGGGACATACTTCTTCCAGCAGGGCAAGCATTACCTAAACCTTCCCAAATTGTGGGAGGGCTACCCACCACCCCTGCATTTCCCCAGATTGCTCTTGAGTTGGAGCAGCAGAAAATATTAGATAGAAGGACTCCGAATGGGGAGAAACAGATAGAAAATACAGGATAACCTCAAGAGGGCCTGGAACCTATTCCAACAGGCCCTGACTGTCTCTGCCCTAGGGTATTTACAGAAATGCCAAGGGTTGGAGCAAAAGATGCCCCCCCCCCAGAACAGCCCAGTACAGACCATATCAGATACCTGCACTCAGACCCATGGTCCAACCATCCTCTCTATGCAGAATTGCTGAGTAAAGCCACTAGGAAACCTGAAAATGGGCTCCCACAGGTCCCCCTTTCTTAATATATAAAAAACAACTCCTCATTACTAGTTCATAGCAAACTCCATAGCTGTCACTTCTTCCAGTATGGGAATTGAGAATAATAAAGATGACATTTCTTTTTTGGATTGGGTCTAAGATGACTACAGCAGTCTTAGCTGCATCCAGCCTTTTCTAAACCAACAACTCTTAATGTATTTGCAAACTTAAAGAATCCCGTAGTTTCATCAGTAACATCAACAGGTTAACAAATTTTGCTATACATAGTTAGAATTCTTTCAATCTTCCATCTCAAATCAAAGTCTTAACAGAACCATTTGAATTTCTTGCTAAGAGAACATAGGAAAAACTTTGATGTATTCACATCAAACTTAAATATTTCATTAACTTCAAACCAGGGTGGATTAATATCAATACACTCAACCTTAATTCACCCATTACTCCCTCTTTTCTTTATAATTTTTTAAACAAAATCTTAAACCTAGTTAGAAGAAATTCCAAAATTTTCCTTTTAAACACAACACCAGTTTCATAAGTAATTCCATTTTTACATAAACAGTTCTATTAAAAGCTCCATTTTTAACAAATATCATTTCATGAATCACCACAGTTAATAAAGCATATATGAATATGCAAAACTACATCTCAAGCCCAGGTAGAAACAATAAATATCTTCATTTAAACAGTTCACTTTTTTAACACAAATAATTCCAGAAAACAGTTCCTAGGTCATCCCATTGCATTGAAATCACTTTTGTTCATTTCTTAAGTACCAAATTTTAAATAATAAATTATGTACCAGCCTTCCAAATATGAAGAAATGTTTTACAACCAAAAACTTTTTGCAGCTAACAATTTTAGTTCAAACAAGCATCTCTACAGCTTTCATTCTCCACCCAATGACATCTTTAGTTACAGTAGCATTTTAAACTGCACCATTTTTGCCACTAGCTCAGGTTTTTCTTTGCTGCATTGATTTTCCAATGGGTCTCAGTTGGAAATGCCTGTCTGTGGTTGTCATACAGGTTCTGTTGTCTGCAATTCTTAGCATCTTAGCAGCTTCTGGAGCTTTTGAAAATGCTCAGACTGCCAGCTTGATATATTAAGCATAGACTCACATTCAAACATTTACACTTTTTCACCATATACAATAAGCATACACTCACACTCAACATTTACACTTTTTTCCTAACATATAACATGTCAACATATACTCATTTATGCTTCTTACAAGATAATATTCTTAAAGAAACTCCTTAGCAAATATACTTATATATTTACTTCTTACATTCTTATTTAAACTTACATTTACTTATATATTTACTCCTTACATTCTTTTTTTTTTTTTTTTTTTTTTTTT